GCAGAGGTGGGATTTCTGGCGTGCCATGGCTGCCGGCCCTCTCCGGCCCTCACAGCCACCGTGGCTGCCTGCCGGGCCTTCTCTGGCCCTTGCAGCCACTGCTGCTTTGTCCGGAAGGACTCCAGAAGACATCCGGTCTAATTAGCATATTACCCTTTTATTAGTATAGACGTTCTTTGGCTAATCTCTTAACATTCTTTTCATCCAGTCCGACCCACCCCCTTTCCCTCTGACAGCTGTATCCATGCCTCTGTTTCTGTTTTGTTCAACAGTATATTTGTTCATTAGATTCCACTTATAAGTGAGATCATATGGTATTTGCCTTTCTCTTATTCAGATTTGATTGACGCATGTGAAAAAAATGTAGCCTCATGTAGAAATGTAGAAGGAAAATGGAGAAGTATTTTAATAGCTTTTTCAGACAGTTTGGGATAGTCTTTGGTATTTCATTAAAACTTGACAAGTGGTAGTTTCTTAAAGGTTAGTTGCATGTGGAATCTGACACCACATCAGTGAACTTTTTGTACTCTTAAATATCCTGGTTTGTCCATTGGATCTTTTCCCCATGTAACATTATGCATTGGTCATTTGGAAAATATCGGTTTACTTAGTTATGCAGATCTTCCAAATGTTAACACCTTTCATTATACAATATTAAAAAGCACAAATTTCTTAAAGTTGTTATTGATCTCATCAGAAAAGTCTTTAATTATTGGAAAGCTGTCAAGCTCATGGTGGCAGATGTAAATTTCCCAAAAAGCTTTGCTTAAAAACCCAAATTAATGGCAACAAATACTTGTCAGTTGTTTTCCTTGAAATGACAAGTTCACTTTATTTTTGAGAAAATGTCTGCCAGATATCCAAGTCTAAATAAAATTAACAACTTTTACTGCTTTGTCAATGATATTCTAAATGAAACTGGGTTGTTGTTTTGTTTTGTTTTTTAACTGTGAGTGCACTACAAAGAATACAGTGTGTTAGTACAAAAAGTGCTATGCAAGTTTAAGCAGTCATTTAAATAATTATTCCTACATTAATGTGTAAATTTTTTTTTTTTTACAAATGGCAACTTGGTAAAATGTGAACAAAAGGAGATA